GGGGGGGGGGGGGGGGCGGGGGGGGGGGCGGGGGGATCGTTTGGGGTCAGTGGGTGTGGTTTGGGGGGGTCATTCTGCAGGGCTGGGGACATAGAGGGGGACTTGGGGGTGCTATGAAAGGTTTGGAAGGTAAGTGGGGGGTCTGGGGCAGGGTTTGGGGCATCAGATGAGGGATCTGGGGGCTGAAGAGGATTGGGGGGGGGAGTGTGTCTGGGGGGGGTCATAGGGGGTTTGGAGAGGTCTGAGGGAGAGGGCAGATTCGGTGGGGGGGTGTAGGGGACAAATGGGGGGGGCTGGGGAGGTGGGGGCCGAGGGGCACGGGGTGACGTGGGGAGGTCGTGGAGGAGCACTTACTGGTGTCACGGAAGCTCCCTGGGGACAGAGGCAGCACTTAGGCGGGGTCCTGACGCGCTCCGGGCCCCCCAATCCTCCCTTCATCTGCCCCAATCTCCCAGCACCCCCCACCAGCCCCACAGGGGGGACATTTGGGGACACTGGGGCAGAATTTGGCCCCAGCTGTTGCGGGGGGGATTGTGTGGGGTCAGAACACCCCTGTCCCCCTCCATGGGGGCTGTGGGAGAGTTTCAGGGGGCACAGGTGGTTGGGGGCAGTTGGTGGGAGCAGGAAAATCCCCCCATTCCCACCCAGGGGCTGAAACTGGGGGGCACCGGGCAGGTGCAGCACCCAGGACCCTCCAAGCCCCCCCAGTTCCCACCTTGGGGGTGGCTGCAGGAGGGGGCAGGGGCAGTGTTGGGATTCGGGGGAGATCCAGGGGACTGTGGGGAGATTTTGTGGGACCAAGTACCCCCAGGGACTGAAACTGGGGTGTTCAGGGTAGGAGCACCCAGGATCTCCCCAAACCTCCCCTGAACCCACCTGGAGGGGCTGAGGGAGGAACGGTCGGGGGATCTGGGGGAGGATCCTGGGGGTTTGGGCAGGTCCCGAGGGTTTGGGGGCAGTTTGGGCGGGTCATGCCCCACCAGACCCACCTGGGGCAGTGAAGGCGGGGGGGGAGGCGGGGGTGAAGCCCCCCCCCTCGGCCAGGAGGGTGTTGTAGGGGCTCGACCCCCCCCGCGGCGGCAGCACCGGGTTGGGCAGGAGGTGCGACCCTGCGGAGAGGGGAGGGGGTCACACACGGGGGTCTGAGGGGGCCCA